TATGATTACCAGGTGCCATGGTATTATTGTATAATACTTTGTATTATTTGTAAAGTCTAAGCCTGAAGATAATCTTTGACTTTATCTTACCCTCGACCTGTCTACCAAGAACCCAAATTCATTGTGCGTCATCGAACCACATGACAAAAGTGTGAGTTGCCATGCTTGAACTGCTGCATTTCTGGGGATGTAGGTACACCCACAGTGCTGTTAGGGAGGGAGTTCCAGGAGTTTGACCCTGTAACAATGGAGGATGTCAACATGGTTATTGGCTTGTTCCTATGCATCTACTGCCCTTGTCCTTCCAGAAGGCAGAGACTGTGGGTTTAGAAGATGCCATTGAAGGAACACTGTTGAATCCTTTTGGTGGAAAAACAAAAATGCAGGAGACAGGCGCTAAATGAACGAAAACTTTCTTGGATGGAGAGTTTGCAGTAATAAATTTTAACTACACTATGGGTGGCCTGGTGGCACAGTGGCTAGCACTGCTGCCTCACAGCGCTAGGGACCCAGGTTCAATTCCACCCTCAGGCAACTGTCTGTGTGGAGTTTGCACATTCTCCCTGTGCCTGCGTGGGTTTCCTCCGGGTGCTCTGGTTTCCTCCCACAGTCCAAAGATGTGCAGGTTAGGTGGATTGGCCATGCTAAATTGCCCATAGTGTTCAGGGATGTGTGGGTTATAGGGGAATGGGTTTGGGTGAGTGTTCTGTGGGTCAGTGTGAACTTGTTGGGCTGAAGGGCCTGTTTTCAAACTCTAGGGATTCTAACATTCATTGGTAACATGTAGCATTGAAACTGATTGATAGCAGGTCACTTGAGCAGCTTTGGAAATCTGGGTTCCAGACAATATGGGCAGTCATAATCAGCTACACTTCATGTAGTAAGTATATTTTTTGTGAACCCAGCATTTAGATAGGCAATAATCCAAGTATTAATTTGTTCTCAAGCCTCCTGACTAATTAGCTTGCCCGCTGTGCAGTATGAAGGCATCACTTCAGATCAGCAGGAGTGCAGGATGTGACTGTATTCAATTCACTTCAAACTGTGTGACCTTGAAAGTGAGGCTGTCCCTGAGCCAAAGGAAAGTTTAATTAACACCAGACTGACACACTGCAGATCTAAGGCTGTTTCTGACAATCCCCCTCCCCATCCTCCTTTGTGATTCTGACCCTTTTGAAAATTGGAGAAAGATCTCCAGTTCTACAGTTGGTGGATTCAGATGTATACACTGTAGCATGCCCCTTTGACAAATTATGTAAGATGTTTTTACTTTTCCCTCTTTACTCCTGTATCTTTAAGAGAATTTGTTTGCTTTAGATAATCATTTTCTAATGTGCTTTCTTTAAATAGCCCATTGCCAGTTAAAGTTGTTGCTAAAATTGGCATATTAGTATAATAACATATATCAAGTTATAAAGTTAAAGCTATCAACTCAATATTTTTATGAAAATAATAAAAACTTTTAACAGGGACTGAAATAGGTAAATTGCAATGAAGTAGTATTTTTCGGAATCACTCAACCCGAAATGTTAACTCTGATTTCTCTCTGCAGATGCTGCCAGACCTGTTGAGATTTTACAGCAACTTCTGTTTTTGTTTCTGATTTACAGCATCCACAGTTCTTTTGGCTTTTATTTAATACTTTCCAGGATATGCTTTTTGATTAACAATTAAAATAATTCTTGTGATGCTGGGTGAAGGCAGAATAACCCATTGCCTTTGCACACTTCTCTTTGCTTGGGAAAAAAAATTAAATATAAACACTTTGTAGATTCCATTCAACCTGCAGTGTGAAGCAGTTCTGCTTCTGCTGTGCTGCAGTTTAGTGTAAATACACCAAGAATTCACACTCACCAGAGTGAAATGGAGTAAAACTCCCTGTAGGAAATCGTCTTTGCTTCACTTCGAAGTCAGATCGAACTTTTATGCATGATTTGTGTTAAATAGGTTTTGCATTCTCATTGTAAAACCACAACTCTTCAAACTGTATCGAATGCACATAATGTTATGGTTAAAAATACAAACTTGTCTTTTCCAAATGTAAGCTGTGGTCTAAATTCACCTTTAGATGATTCCACACCAAGTTTCAATCTAGATGAATTCTCCTGTCCAATTTTTATTCCTCTGCTTAAAATAAAAAAAACTTGATAATTACCACTGACATTTATTTAAGGACTGTACGTCTACAAATGAAAGAACTGAAATGTGGATATATAATGTAGCTCCACCAACAACTTGAAGAATAGTCAGCCAAATTATTGTCTATTTAATTTCTGACTTAAAATAACTTCAGACCACTGTTCCGTGCTATTCCTTAAAAGTTTACCTGCAATTTTTCTCATCATTGGTGACAAAGGTCCATTGATGGCTCATCTGTTTTAGGAGTATAAAATGGGAACCACTGGGCGGCATGGTGGCTCAGTGGTTAGCACTGCTGCCTCACAGCGCCAAGGACCCGGGTTCGATTTCAGCCTTGGGCGACTGAGTGGAGTTTGCACATTTTCCCCATGTCTGCGTGGGTTTCCTCCGGGTGCTCCGGTTTCCTCCCACAGTCCAAAGACGTGCAGGTTAGGTGGATTGGCCGTGCTAAATTGCCCATATGTTCATCTTAGGTGGGTTACAGAGGAATGGTTCTGGGTGGGATGCTCCAAGGGTCGGTGTGGACTTGTTGGGCTGAAGGGCCTGCTTCCACACTGGAGGGATTCTATGATTCTATTTCATATGGCAACTGGTATGTATGCATTCCATGTCTAAAGTACATTGACCACACTATTGGTAAAGGTGCGAATAGCAACAGCCAGTGCGGTGGCAAAGCCAAACACAGATCCTCTGCAAATGCAAATCAAGTAGCTCAAACCTGTTGGAAGTCTCTTTTGCAAAAGTAGTAGGCCTTGAAAACAGCTGGTCATTGTGTAACTAAGTTCAGAAAATATAATCTACATGTTGCACCTAACCAACAGTCCTAAAGCGGTCAACATCTGAGGAAGCAAATTTGTATAAAAAAGAATGTGGAACTCTTTATGTACAGAAATTGTCCAACGTTGTCCATTCTAGTTTCTGTCACTGGTCACGAGGTTTGCTGATCATATTTCCTGTAGATTTAAGCGAGACATAATTATAACTGAAAATGTGCTATAAACTTGTACAATAAAGAAAAGTGCCATTTTCAGTGTTAATTTGATCTAGTGCATCAATATTGATTGTTTGGAATTGAATGTGACTCTAGAATTGGCTTTACAATCGAGAGTGCACATAAGCCAAGGGTGTTGTCCAGTGCTGAGTCATCCTGTGACTTTTGGCACTGAGAACTTGGTTGGCAAGGAACGTAACTCCTGGATCAGGGCTAGAGGTTCATTAATCCTTTCAAGGTTAGCTTTGAGAGATGTATCACATGTACAAATGAGGAGGGGAGCGCTACCAGAAATGTGTCAACATGGGGAAAATCATTTTGAGAGTTTTCAGAGTTGAGGATTATCAGCATTCCTAACTCAAAAATAGAAGTAGGGTTGAAAGCATTGCTAAAAATAATAAAGTGACTGCACCCAAGTCCCTAAATATTGACATCACTATGACAGAGCTCTTTTTGCACATGCTTAGTGATTAGATCCACAGTGAGTCACATCTACTCTACACAATGGGGAAGGGTGAATGAGGACTACTCAATTGCTCTACTGACTGCAGGCATCTATATCAGATAATCTGTAAACAGGTGAGCAGCCCACTCTCCTATTTCAGGTAGGAGTCTGTTTAAATGATAAACGTTAGGGATACACAGTCAAAGGGCCTGTTCCTGTGCTGTACTGTCCTTTACCTTTGTCTTATCAGCAATCACTCCCAATTTAAGTTAAATGGAACATAAGTTAGGCATGCACCTTACAAATGAACTTGCATCAAAAGCCCGCTCCTTACCTTAATTTAAATCAGTATCATTCCCACAAGTCTCAGAGCTGTTCTGTCAGCTGCTTCTTTCTCACTTTGGCTGCCAGAAGACGTAACTTTTCTATATTGAGCCAACACAGTCTTAAATAATGTATAAAACCTCTTCTTTTGGTCCTTCTCCAGTCCAATGGAAATAGTCCTGGTATCTCAAATCTCTTCTTGTAACCATTTTGTAACTATGACAAAAACAGAAAGTGCTGGGGAAACTCAGCAGGTCTGGCAGCATCTATGGAGAGAGAGAGAGACGATGTCCAATGTGACTTCTTCTGTTACTCTCTCTCCACAGATGCTGCCAGACCTGCTGAATTTCTCCAGCATTTTCTGTCCAAGTCTCCACCATCCACTGTGTGTTATTTGCATTATAATTTCCTATGCCTGACCTCATACTGGTGAACCTGCACACTTTACACACTCCATGATTTCAACATCCTTTCTACAATGGAATACCCCAAACTGCACTCTCCCCTCAATGCCGCCTTTATAAAATGATCAAAATACTATAACCATTTACTTACCTGCACTTTGAGCAGCTCGTGTTTGCTGCTATAACTTAGACAGAAGTGTGATGTGACTTCTAATTACATATCAGAAATAAAGATTTACATATGTATATAAAATGCCTTTGGCAACCCCAGAACATCCCAAAAACTTTACTTCCAATTTAATACTTTTGAATTAGAGTCACCGATAAAATATAGGAATACAGCAGCCAATTTATTATGTTACTGTCTGTGAGAGATTGTGCGAATAAACAGATCATCTATTCTGGTTGTTCTGGTTTGTTTGGTTGGACCTCAGGTCTCTTTAATGGTATGGTTTAAGGCATATATTTTAAATGGCTTTCTTTCTCATTTCCTACTTGTTGGTCCCAAGACATTCGGCAGCAAAGTCTTTCGATATTGATTATTATATTTATTATTATTATTGATTACTGCAATATCACCACAACCCTAGCACAATTATATTGATCGATCAGAGATCTGTCATATTTGACTTCTCAGAATCTTCCAAAGTAGTGTAGAGAAATCACGCAAAAACTGACTCAATGTAGAAATGTCCATATAAAATTTATTCCCTTTGGTATACATTAAAGTTTTAATACATCTTTGCAAATGCATATCACAAAAATCAGGAAAAAAAACACTTCAATAACATAGTAAAAACAGTTGTGAATAAGACCTTTTCTATTTTCTTCTGAAAAATTAGGATTGTAACTATAGGCTATTCAAGTGTTAATGATACTCAGTTGTAGCATGACCGCTTACCAAAAATATACACAGATATATGTCTATCTTACAAAATTGAATGAAACTGCAATAATTCTTTTCCTTAGCCATTAAAGTAATGTGAAGACATTTGCTCTTTAATGTTTACATATACTGAGTAAATTCAATGTTAAGAATTTGTTTCCTTTTGTTTGATTCACATTTTGATCATTATAAAACAAAGTCTTTTTTAAAAAATTACAATAAAGCACTAACTCAAAAACATTTGACAGCAGGGAAATTCTTTTGGAAAAACATTTAAGTATCTTCTGCTTTAGCGGCAAAGATGAGATTTATTAGGAATAACTTTGTTGTTCTAACAATTGTCGAGCTTTAATCATTTAATGTTGATCATTTTTACAGGCAGCGCATCATATCACAATATATACAAATTGGTTTTCACAGCAGGTTTGTCAAAACATTACACAATAATGTCTAGTTTCACAATGATTTCTTCCATCTGGGTGTTTTCTTATTCCCAAAATTCAACTATTGGCCCATGAAAGACAATTGGGAATTTGGCCAAGTGGTCTGCTCTTCTAGGCAGGTGATGAATGTCATTGTGACTATCACTGTTGAATGACAGTCTTCCCCACACATTGTTCCCCACACAGCAGGCAGCACTTTAGAAGTGACAACTCTGGTTGACTTATTTACCTTTTCGAACCATGGAGGCTGCATCCACTTCTCATGTCCCTTCCTGTGACTGAAATAAGCTGTCTTGGTACAGATGAGGGATCATGTTTGGGACCAATTAGGATGATAATCTTTCCTCCTTCAGGTTCAATTTTACCAATACTATGTCAAGGCCCACAGATTAGGCCAAAACCCAGCGCTGTCAGAATCCGACCTTACATCAGGGATTGCTCAGAATCTTCTGTTTCAATCTAAGCCTCCAGGGGATACAAGCCTTGCTTGCCCAACATTTCCTCATAAAGCACTCCCACCACCCTGCTGCATTCCAGGTATTAATCTCATTAACATTCTCCAAATTGCTTCCAATGTAATTACATTTTTCCTTAAATAGGGAGTGTATAAGTATTGATTGCGGGAATTGTTTGGGAGTTTTGGACCCCGAAAATAAAAGATAATTTGGCTCCATACAAATGTCCACTGGACACTTTTTTTTTGCTTATTCAAGGATTGGGTGACTGGTAGTACCCTGTGTGACCCTACCACAGTATGTGGTAAGTGAGCAGTTACCAAAATTTGTGTGGAGGAGCTCAGATGTTGCCACTGTGATCCAAACTGTATAACCAACCCATGAAGCTAACATTATCCACTGAGGCTAGCAACAGAACTTCCCAGTGATTGTAATCCAGCATTTACATCATGATGCACATCCTACAGATGTTTAGTCCTTGAACTACAAACTTCAGTTTCACATTATACAGTGCACAGGGTCTGCATGCCAAAGGTTTTAATTTTAAAAAGACTTCAAACCACTAATTATTTATAAGAAATTTGTTTTGAGATGAAAGGCAACCAGCAGTGTCCTATAAACATTACGCAGCAGACTTTTAGATACCTCAGCTATCACGTACAGGGGTGCAATTACACTGTATATATGATCACAACAAATTTACAATATGTGGACAAAAGGATGTGCCATAAAATATGTTAGCAATTTTGAATGTGTTTGTCTTGAGATTCAAAATCAAATCATTTGCCACAGGCTATCAATATAATGTAATTCTTCAATGTACATTTAAATTTTAGAACAATAGAGTTCTTCATGTGGTAAAGATGCCGTGAATTATAATTTGCACTTCTACTTGTTTTACATAGCAACCTAGAATTGAACCAATTAATGCTAGTATTTCTGTAATTGCTTCATTGTGGTGATACCATTTACGAAGACATTGTCATAGATGTTGAAATTGCTGTCAAAGGGAGTGCATACTCAGAGCAGACTATTTGCTTAAAACAAAACACTAACCTGACCTCAAGTTGGCAGATTACTGGAAAAGAAAACTGCGGGTTTAATAACCCTTTACATTTTCCCAGGAATCGCAAAACAATTTAAAATTAGCCTTAACAGTTTTGTATTAAAAAAATCTGTTCCATGGTAAACATTTAGAAGAACAGTTGAGGTTCTTTTATTAAATAAATTTAAACAATACAATTTATCTTTAAAACATAAAGACCCAGACCCTCATCCTTAGTAAACCTTTTTTTTGTAAATGACAATGAAAACGATAGTACAAAGTTATACATTTCTGTGGTAATATATTGCACTTAATGTACACAAAAAATAATATGGCTTGAATGCTGGTTTCTTCAGCCATTCACTGCATTTTCCTGTAGTTAATGCAGTCCAACACCTATAGAAAGGAGTCTTACCACCATTTGTGTGAAAGTGAAACAAAGGACATTCTTCCAAGTGCTCTGTCTCAAATGCTAATTCCTGCAGTTGACCTTTAAGTTATAAAATGTAACATTCAAATCTCTAAAATCTGAACTTAAGACAAGACATAAATTGAGACAAAACAATATTTACCTTCCATAATAAAAATATAAGGTATACAATCACTGAAGCATCTTTTACAAGGTTGTAACACATCAAGGTGTTCAACCAATCACCTGAAAGCCAAATTGTGCTCCACAACAACATGGGCTTTATTGCAACTGTTCTTTGGTTAACATATATTGACATACTTTATGTATTTTGTTCTTTTCTTTTATATCAACACAACTATCATAGTAATGAAGAATTTAATTGAGGAATAGAGAACAAAAAGGACGGGAGAAATCATTGGTGGGAACTTGAGGGTCCTTGCATGGGAGCAATTAACTGTTACTTTATTGCAACATATTATCTCAAATAATGCTGATTACAAATAAACACTTGCTGCAATATTATAGACTTTTAATTTGAAGGTTGGTGTTGACTTAACAGGTACGTCTTGTATATATCGTATGTATTTTCACACTGTATTTTGTTGCTCTATTCCTCTATTTTTATAATGTACAAGTGGCATTAGCCTGGCCAATAAATGCATAGGACTGACAATGAGCTGTAAGATAACTATTACACAATTCTCTTCATATTTCAGCAAGAGTGAGCTTGTAGGATCCTGCAATTTCTTCAATGTTTAGTTGGAATGTGTCTTCATTAGAATAGTGCTTCACTATATTATCATCCATGTTGACCAAGATGCTGGCAACAGAATGACAGCATGTTAAAATACACCTTTTGATAATGTATAAAACATGTAATACAGTTTTACACCACCTTAACACTTCCAGATGGCATTGTGATCAGATTCATTGCTGCAGGGTACTATGTTTGAAAAAGGAGCTAGATGAATTAATTCACATTGAGTAAGACCAAACATGGGCTTTGAAATCTGGAAGGCTGTTTGAAGGATGGACTAAAAGACAGCAAAGCATTCTACATAATGAGATGTTCCTATGTGATGACACCTTAATTTCATAGCAAGTCTGCACAAAGGAGAAAGTGTGGTGAAACAGTACGTTCAGAAGGTTCATTAGAGGCAAATTAAAAAGGTGCAATGATCAAGTGACATCAGCAAGATAGATGCAAGATGCATCAGGAATACAAAACAGATATTTAAAGAACCAAAACTGGGAAAATTAAAAGCAGATTGATATTGTCTGTATGGGATGCAGAAATGAAGCAAGACAGTTCTGTTGAGTAGGCAGAAAGTACCTTAAAATCCTCTAAGCATATAAAAAGAGAAAGCTGCAGAAAATTAAAGAAACAACATCAAAAAGTAAACAATGAAAATGTTCAAGACTGAGTCAAGAGATTATTGTTTTTGTCACATAAGAGTTACCAAGGACTTTTTGCTCAAAAAGTCAAAATAACTGGAGTTGAGGTAGACATCACCTTAAAAAAATGGATGAAGAGGGTTGAGGAAATGAATGACCCACAATTGTCACCTAAATTAAGTCTGGGAAGGAGTTGGGTTGGAAGAGAATTAAGATGAGTACAAGTATTTTAAACTCAATATCTTAAAGTATTGTGCAACATTGTAAAGTCAGGGAGGATGGATGAGTGGACCTTAACAAAGGCTGGTTGCAAGCAGCAGAGTTAGGAAAAATTATGAATTATGGGAGTTCAGCAAGAAGGCCTTTTCAGAAACTGAGATGAAAGTATGTAATCATGATCATGAATTAGATGTGGGGCTTGTGACTCAAGTGTAATTCAAACAGATTGTCAATGTTTCATGAAATCTGGGTGAATGACTAGAACTGGAGTCTATGGGAGAACAGCAGAGTTTGTAGCAATGGCAATTAAAAAAAGGCTTTGGTTTTGATGTTCTGTTGGAGGAAGTTTTGACCCACCCTTGATTTACATTCTGATAACACCGATGTGCGTTGAAGTAAAGAAAATCGGTGATGATGAGGAGCTAAACATTAACAACGTAATCTTTGTCAATGATGGAAAAGTGTTAAGTACAGGTAGTTGCAGAATGTCAAAGGTGGCTATGCAGACCCTGTGATCAACTTCATTACAGGAGAAGCCCAAGTTGCATTAGTTTGCTGAGACGGAGAGAAGTGGATTTATATGAGCAGCCCCATGGAGCAGGATAATGGGAAACAGAACAGTGTATGATCACATACTGGGAATGGTGAGAAGAACCAGCAGCAGTAACACACTATGATCGCAGTCATAGCAGATGCCAATTGTGACGTTGACCAGAATTGTGAAAGCATAATGATCAGTGACAGAAGCTGACTCGGAAAGATTTATAAAGAGGTAGGGAATTAACTAGAAACTGTTGAAATGTTCAAGGATGTAAAGGGCCTGAATTGTTGTTCAGGAACACTGATTGGTCATGGTGGGCTTCCAAAGAGAGGATAAGGTCAGAGTTAACTTCTATTAACAACAATCAGTAAATAAAGTCGATTGAATGATCTAGAGTTGGGATCAGAAACGTGGTGGATGTTAGAGAAGAGACGAGCCTGGGGATCACAGGTGGAGGGAGAATGGAATTGCTGAATGCTTGAGTATTGGAGCTGGAATGGGAGATGCTAAGCAATGTCAGGACTAGGGGATAGAGGAATTAGAAGTAACTCAGTGCACATGGCCTCAGTGCTTATAGACAAGCCTTTCATATCTGGAAGTGAAGGTGAAAAGTAGCAGGTGGAGGGGGAGCAGTTGATGAGGCAGTTTACAGCCCTCTGACTTCATGGTGATGGGATTTGTATTGGTGTAATGACAGATACATATCCTGGATTAATTCACGTATTGCAGAATAAACTTTCCCATTACCACAAATGCAAACTTCAAAGTAACACTTACTCACCCTTTCTTGCATTTCTTGTAGACCTTTGCAATTTTATCCAGGGGTACTTCATATTTTTCTGAAATCTAGAATAACAGGCCAAACAATCAAGGTGGTCCTTTTAAAATTAATTGTGATTTCACAAAATTATATAGCACTGAAAGAGGCCAGTATATCTGTTCACTCTTTGACAGAAAGGAAGAGACGGTTGCTGGGCGGGTGGGTGAGACGTGGTGGATGGGTGGGTGAGAGAGAGGTAGCAGGCAGGGGAGACAGGCAAAAAGTGGGAGGCAACTTGAAAATATCATTAACTGTAAAGTTATCATTAATAAGGAGCAAGTTAGCAACTCTCCATATTTTAACAATAAGAGGATTCTCGAACATGTGAGTACCACTAATTGTGTCATTCTCAACTGCAGCTTGTTTTGTCGGAGAATTAAAGAAAAATTGATTCCAAAGACATTCAACACATTAAAAACACAGGGAAATTTTTCGGTGTCTGAAATGTTTTGGACTCTTGCCTGGATTTCCAATAATAATGTAAAGGCTCTTGCGAGGTTGGCTTACAGAACATATTCTACCAATTGCTACCTCTCCTCAACTCACACTTGTGTGCATGGAGTTTGCTTTAAAAATGCTGAACTGGCTTATTACTCCACAATTCATAGATCTTGACATTTAGATTTATAAATCTAAAAAAAAATTGTAGGTGGAATAAATGTCATTTCTTCTCCCACAACCCACTTCAACAGACATTCTCTCTCCTGGAATCATATCCCCTCTTCAGCACAGTGCTCTCTTTCTCAATTCCCAGAACTAGCTTCCTTCTTTGGTATTCACTTAATTCACAGGGACACTGTCCCCATGATCTTTAGCCTGCAGTTCACAACAGCCAACCGCTCTCCAAATTAGATACACTTCATTTGTTGGTGTTGATAAATTTCTGAGCTATTTCCCTCAGTATTCCTAGCAGTTTTAAGTAAAGAAAGATACACACAAAAGGTGAAAAACCAGAAGTCATCATTTCATGTTTTCTGTCATTTTGAAAGGCAAATCTCCTAAGCCTTTGCTAGTTCAGTTTGTCAAATTGAAACAAAAGATCTTGGTTTTATCTTGAGCCAGCAGTTCAACTTACCTGCTCCCAAATGGCTAAAATATAAGCTACAAGATAAAATCTAATAAATACTTCTCTTGTCTGGTAATGGAATGGTTATAGTCTGAACTTAAACCCAGAGACCACAAGTTCAAATTCTGCTATGGTAAATTTAAAATGGAATTCAGTAAATCTGGTAATTTGTGGACTAGCATGTTACTGTGCTAATAGCTGAGGGTGGTATTCTTTATTCTTACATACTTTTTAAAAATACATATTCTATATAGAATTTTTGTTTCTACTGATCAGCACATTTTGTGCATTGCACTGATACTGGTGCATACAAAGTAAATTCCACACATGGATGAAAAAAAAAGACGGAACATTGTTCCACTCCGCCTTGCAACATTTTATTTTCTAAGTATGAGTCTGAATTATGGGGAGAGGCTGGATTGGCTGGAACATTTTTTACTGGAGTGTAGGAGGTTGAGAGGTGACCTGATAGGGATATAGATAAGGTGAATGGCAGGTGTCTTTTCCCTAGGGTGGGGGATTTCAAGACTGGGGGCATATTTTTAAGGTGAGAGGAAAAAGATTTAAAAACAACATTGTGGGGCAAAGTTTTTTTACAGAGAGTGGTTCATGTGTGGAATGGAGGAAGTGGTCAAGTCAGGTACAGTTACAATGTTTAAAAGATATTTAGATAAGTAAATGAATAAGAAATGTTTGGAGAAATTTGGATCAAGCGCAGGTAGATGGGACTAGATTAGTTTGGGATTATGCTCAGCATGGGCTGGTTGGACTGAAGGGTCTGTTTCCATGTCGTATGACCCTATGGCTATGTATATTATTATCTTATGAAAGAGATCACAAAATATACTTCCACCATCCTTTCATGCTGTACATTTTGCATCATCATCACTCACCATGCAAAAGAAATTCTTCTGGCTTCGGTTGCCAATTATCTTAAATGCGTGAACGCAGGTTACTAACCTCCCGCTAACAGAAACATCTCCTCCCTCCATCTTCTATTGAAAAAAATCTCCATTTTGAATACCTTCAATAAATCTCTCCCCAATGTTTTCTGTTCTTAAGAATAAAATCTCAACTTCTCTGGTCTCTCTGCATAACTGAAGTCCCTAGTCCTATTTGAGTAAATCGCCTCTGCACTCTCTTCAAGACCTTTATATCCACCTAAAGTGTGCTGTTTAGAGGTGGAAACAACATTCCCACAGACATTTTACAAAAAACAGATGTAAAAAGTTACCAAACTTAGTGTTTTCTTTTCTAACTTTTGGCCTTATAAACGGGAGCAAAGGATCCAGTAGGCTTTGTTTAAAAATGCATGACTTTTCTGTAATTTTTACGGACGGAAAATGAAAATGTTATTTGTTTTCAGGTTAAATGGAAAATCAAAATGAAAATGTCCTTTGCTTTAGTATTTCATTTTTAATATCTTGTTTGCATTATTTTTTCTAGTGTCACCTTACAAGACCTCTGTACGTGAATGCTCACATTTCTGCTCTTTCATTCAATCAAAATTGTACATTTAATTTTGCATTTCTCTCTTCTTCCTATCAGTATACACTTCTGTGCATTAACTTTCATCTGGCAGGTATCTATTTCACTAGTCTGCTTGCCCATATGCTGCTTTTATCCTTTTTACTGTTTACTATTTTTCCAATGTTTGATTCATTGGATAATGTTGAAAGCATGCTCCCTATACACATCTTGGTCTTTGTTATATTCATGAATAAATATTTAGACATTGGAATTCACACGGTGACTCCACTCCAACCCCTCCTCCCCACCCTTCCCCAGTCCCATGTCGCTCGTTCAGAAATAAATGATTCTGAACTTAGCCAAGATAGGAGTAAGTGCATTGCAATCAGCTACATTGATGCTGAAGTTCGAAAAGTTTTTGATGTGAAAGCACGTCTTCAACTTACTTTTTCATTTATATTATTTTTATTGAACCTTTTTGAAATATATGCAACTCCTCTCACAGCATTCAATTATTGATTGCCTTCTTTTATTGGAGAGCACGACAAAGAGTAAGACAAAGGAAGCTTGATTCTGTTTCATTTCTCTAACAGGAATTATTGACATATGCCTGCTAAAATCTTTTCTGTGGACACTGAGCATTACAGAATCATCTGCTATAAAAACACTGCAAAGGGTGGCTTTAAAGTCCACAAGTGACAAAGAACCCATGTTCAGGTCTGTATTTACTGTGTAGATGAAATGACAAGGAAAAGTTACTAGATACTAGAACAGAGCTTTTCAGTTTTCCTTTACTTACTGCCTCCATTAGGCCTTTCAGAGAAGGAGTCTTCAACATTAGCGCATCAAACACCTCTTCGCATTCCTTCCTGACGTAAAGTAAAACTGAAAACAGAACAGTAAGATTCTGAATACAAAATGAAAAAGACAGATAGACCTTTCAGTCATTTGTAATAACTTCTCTGAAGTTAACTAAAGGGCAATAACTTGATACTAGAGGGTTTAGTCTTTTTTTGAAAAGTTTGTCATTGAAGAAGACTCAGACTTGTTAAAAGTATCATGGATTTTATGATACCTGCAACATTCAAGTAACTCGTGTTACCACTGATGTCATACATGGGTTATCAACAAGCCTAAGTCGATGTTCTACATTAGTAGGAAACTAGAGTTAATCTGACTGACTAAATAACTGAGAAAAACCAAAAGGACTGCAGATGCTGTAAATCAGGAACAAAAACAGAAGTTGCTGGCAAAGCTCAGCAGGTCTGGCAGCATCTGTGAAGAAAAAAATGAGAGTTAATATTTCGGGTCGGGTGACCCTTCCTCAGAACCGTAAACTGTAAAGAACTTGTAAATAATTGAGAATTAGCATTCAAATTTGAAGGAAAGTCTCAGAGTTTTGAACTTTCCAGTTCAGCTTCTGGGCCAGTGCTGAACCCAATCTGTATATCAGTGGTTATCAATACAGTGCTTGTGAATAAAAATTTAGAAACATACTTCGAAAAGTACAGTGCACACAGTGCAAAATGCCCTTTGCTCAACATTGTGCTGCTAGCTACTAACATCCAACAAATGACAACGATTATAGGAGAGGAGCTTGGTTCTGCTTCCACATGATGCACAATCTGTTTGCCACTTGAAGGCCAGAATTACTCCATACGACAAATGGGGAAGTACTTCTGGGATAATGTGTACTTTATGCACTCATACCTTATTTGAACAAATCATCCTGTGCATATTGTATAACATAAAAGTTAAGGTGTTGTCAAAAAAGCAACATACACACACAATCTGGATCCAGCTTTCCAACAAATACTTTTGAATTTTTCTGAACACCAGTGAGAATGACCTTGACATTTGTGAGGACAGCATGAAACAGGCAGATATGCTCGAACAAGTTGTTATTAGGAAGGAGGATGTGCTAGAAATCTTGAAAAACATGAGGATAGATAAGTCCCCTGGGCCAGACAGGATATACCCAACGTTACTACGGGAAGCAAGGGAAGAGATTGCTGCCCCTTTGGCAATGATCTTTGCGTCCTCACTGTCCACTGGAGTAGTGCCAGAAGATTGGAGGGTGGCAAATGTCAGTCCCTTGTTCAAGAAAGGGAATAGGAATAATCCTGGAAATTACAGACCAGTCAGTCTTACTTCTGTGGTGGGCAAATTATTGGAGAGGATTCTGAGATATAGTATTTATGATTATTTGGAAAAGAACAGTTTGTTTAGAAATAATCAGCATGGTTTTGTGAGGGGCAGGTCATGCCTCACAAGCCTTACTGAATTCTTTGAGGATGTGACAAAACACATCGATGAAGGTAGAGCAGTGGATGTGGTGCAGATGGATTTTAGCAAGGCATTTGATAAGGTTCCACATGTTAGGCTCATTCAGAAAGTAAGGAAGCACGGGATTCAGGGAAATTTGGCTGTCTGGATACAAAACTGGCTGTCCAATAGAAGACAGAGGGTGGTAGTAGATGGAAAGTATTCAGCCTGGAGCTTGGTGACCAGTGGTGTTCTGCAGGGATCTGTTCTGGGACAACTGCTCTTTGTGATCTTTCTAAATGACTTGGATGAGGAAGTTGAAGGGTGGTTTAATAAGTTTGCCGATGACACGAACGTTGGTGGAGTTGTGCACAGCGTGGTGCGCTGTTGTAGGTTGCAACGGGACATTGACAGGATGCATAGCTGGGCAAAGAAGTGGCAGATGGAACTCAACCCAGAAAATTGTGAAGTGATTCATTTTGGAAGGTCGAATTTGAACGCAGAATACAGGATTATTGGCAGGATTCTTGGCAGTGTGGAGGAACAGAGGGATCTTGGAGTCCACATCCATAGATCCCTCAAAGTTGCGACCCAAGTTGACAGAGTTGTAAAGAAGGCATATGGTGTGTTGGCTTTCATTGGCAGGGGAATTGAGTTTAAGAGCCGCGAGGTTATGCTGCAGCTCTATAAAACTCTGATTAGACCACACTTGGAATATTGTGTTCAGTTCTGGTCACCTCATTACAGGAAGGATGTGGAAGCTTTAGAGAGAGTGCAGAGGAGATTTACCAGGATGCTGCCTGAACTGGAAGGTAGGTCTTACGAGGAAAGGTTGAGGGAGCTAGGGCTTTTTTCATTGGAGCGAAGAACGACGAGAGGTGACTTGATAGAGGTTTACAAGATGATCAAAGGTATAGATAGAGTGGATAGTTCAGAGACTTTTTCCCAGGGCAGAAATGACTATTATGAGGGGGCATAATTTTAAGGCGATTGGAGGAAGATATGGGGAGATGTCAGAGGTAGGTTCTTCACACAGAGTGGTGGAATATGCTGCCGGCAGTGGTAGTGGAGTCAGATACTTTAGAAACTTTTAAGCGACTCTTGGATAGGCACATGGAGGATAGTAAAATGTAGGCTATGCAGAGTAGATTGATCTTAGTAGGATAATAGGTCAGCACAACATTGTGGGCCGAAGGGCTTGTACTATGCTGCACTGTTCTATGTTCTATGTTCTACATTGGCATCAAAGTAATTTTTACAGACAGAAAATGAAAATGTTATCTGTTTTAAGGTTAAATGGAAAAGCATATGAAAATGTCCTTTGGTTTTGTATTTCATTTTTAACATTTTGTTTGCGTTATTTTTTCTAGTGTCACTTTGGCTGGACATGGTACTCATAGGATGATCTTTTATATCATCTTTCACAACTCTATCTTTCCAGCAAAGCTGGAAACCTTGAATAGAAACTTTTTACAAGTGCCTAACTTTGAAAGATGGAACAGTACAGATACTGAAATGAACCACCATCAAGGCATTAATCAATAGACACTATAGAACATGCTTTCACTACAGAATAGTAGATTTTACCATTTCGTCGGTGTCAGGAATTAACAACAATATCCCAACTCATGTAGCAAGTTCTCAACTGCAGGAGTTTGCAAGTGGATGTGGCCTAGGAAATTCACCAGTCAGTCTGATCAACTTCCAGAATTGGCCATTAGAAAGTAACAGTCTGGCCATGTGCTGACATATTTCAGTTTAATGGTACAGAAATTCAGAAGTGCATGAAATAGTCAAGTCAAATGAAGATGACAAAACAAATAAAAAATGAAAGTTGTTCTATATGCAATTAGTGTAAGCAAATAAAAGTTAATTGAGAAATAGCTGTCAAGCTTGTGCAAAACAAAATGAGGGATGAAGCTATACTAGTGTATGAAAAGTACAGGCCACTAGTGTGTTAAGAGGTCCATTTACACCCAGGTCAAGTTGAAACTTTGTACTTTGGGTTTTACTGGTCAGTCCATCATATAATAGTAATTATATATGGGATTCACAAAATTACATTTTATTCTTTATACAGGAATATAAGAACAAACAAAAATCAACCACTCGCTAGAATGAATCAAGTTTTAGGTAATTAAGATAGTAAGAATTCCTGACTGAATATGACTACATAGCAGTGGCCCTTTCTTTGACGTCACTACTTTTGCTTCTTCCCCAAATCTTCTACCCTTTCATTATATTGGATCCAAATACTTGTCACTAAGCTGGGTTTCTTGTTGCACAACAATGTACGAGACTTGTTACATCATAATGATTTATCTCCTTCACTACAAGAAATTTAGTTCAAGTTCTACTTACTTCAGCCAATTGAGTTTTTAAACCCATGGGAAAATAGATCTCAAGTGGTGTTCTTTAGCCTCCCAAATCAATTAAATCTCATTCAAGCCAACTTTTTGTGACATCCTTGTCTTTTTTTTAAGAAGTTAAAAGGATGTCTAGACCTCCCGCTTCCAACCAGCATATGGTAAAAAATGGTGTTCAATAAGGTAAATCCTCCTATTGCATACCAATGCAAACAAACACCACTAAGCAATGGGACGCTTTTTCATCTTCCCAAACATTACTTTTACATGAACTACAAAAAATTGGTATACTTGTGACTTCTTCCACCACCTCCATGTCACCCCCCCACCCCCAACCCCAATACGATTCTTGATGAAATACTGGACCTAGGCTCTTCACACTGCTCTATATCTCCAGCCTTCCAGAAATATTTACCTTTATTTGGTTCTTCTATCCTGAGGATCTTATTGGGTGAGCCAAACTCTTCTTCGGGCAGGAATGACAGTCTTTTCAGGCCTGATCTGAAAGATGATCAGAGAAAGATGATGCATGATCAGAGTCCAGTGGTAAATTGCTACTCATTAGGAATTACAGTTTCCAAAATCAATTACATTTACTTTAATGGATTATCAAACTTACAATTTTCACAGTCTGAAATGTATAAAAATGTCGTTGGAACCGTGAAATTTGCAGATTGCTGAGAATCGATTACGAACAGCATATGTACATGCACTGTCTTAAAAGGCACTCAAAGAACTGGGACTGATACCACACGGTGCTATAAATGGTAAAATACGATGATAGCTGTAAAAGGTGATATTTGCTTGATAAGTGAGCCATTTCAATTAGCTTGGTCCCACCTGAAACTTCATTCAAATTTCCAGTCTTTTTGATGTTTGGAAACATCTTGTATCCTTCGCTCAGCCTTACTTCTGAATTGTGGACCTAAAAATGCACTCAGTGCTATTAGCTTCCCAGCTTGGGGCTTCCTAAACTACTTTTCTTTGTTCACCTTCAGCCATTGCAGGAGCGTACAGTGAACAGCAAGGAGCAAAAACACATTACATCATTTTGCAGAGGTAGGTGTGCCTTTGGTGTTGGTACGCTGAATTATCAGAAAAATCCAGTGGACAGAAAATTGCCATTACTTCAAGAAGAATGGCTGCTATTTCCTGGCCAGCTGTGTCACCAGTAAAATACCATACAATGAAGCAATGTGTACGGCAGAGAGGACAGCCCCTGCCTAATAAATATGAACAAAGAGCAGGAGTAGGTAATAATTCCTTAGTTATAGGGCTGGAAAGTGGAGTAAAGTTATAGACCTTCCAATTTTAATGTTAATATCTGTTGGAAAAATATTTGTACCCCAGTTACTATCATGAGAAATATCTAGCATATTGTATAGTAAACGGAGTCTATATAAATGGCAGAGTGAGAACCCATGTCAACTATATACATGAAGATTAGTCTTCATGATGGCAGGTGAAAAGAATCCAAGGATGTTAGCGTGCAAGTCAATCTTTGGAGCCTCAAAACAATCCTTCTAAAAACAAAACGGCATAGAGAATATTAACAGGAGTAGATCATATAGCCGATCAAGACAGCTCCACCTTTCAATATGATCATGCTTATCTTGGGCTTTGACTCAATCCCCAAACCCTTGTTCCAGGAAACAATTTAGTTAATCACCTAATCACCAAGAACATCCTTCCTTACATTTGGAAACCAAAACTGCACACAGTATTCCAGGTGTGGTCTCACTTGTACAACTAGTAAGACTCATTTATTCCTGAATTGTAGTCCCCTTGCAATATAGGCCAATGAGACATTGGCCTGCTGCACCTGAATGCTAAAGTATGAGCACATCCTAACCTCATCGAACATCAAATTTACACATCTTAAGCCTTTTAAATCATATTCTGCTTTTCTATTCTTACAATCAAAGAGACCAACTTCACACTTCCTTACGTTAAACCCCATCTGCCCTCTTGTTACTCACTTACTTAACTTGCCTATAGCTCTTTGCAGCCTGTGGCCTCTCAACAGCTTGCACTCCCACCATCAGCAAATACAGACACAACACTCCTTCTTCATCCAAGTCATTAACATGAATTGCAAACTGTAAATATGTCAAAAAACAGGGTTGTCTTATATAAGTATAAAAGGAAACTGCTGGTGTTGGGGGGGTCACCATTCGAAATGGCAGCAGCAACCAGCACAAACAGTGAGCGTATATTGAAGTTCCACACATTTTGCAATACAGCCATATCCTACTTGAATATTGTGGCAGGTATTAGGTAGCAGTAGTTAAAACATACATTTCTCTAACTAAATAACAAGGCCGACGACTGAGGGCACGGCATGTTGCAGCTGAAAAGCAGGGTGGGAGGTCAACTTTTATGGTCAATTAACGTAAAAGCATAATTTCTGAGGCTGGAAAAATGGAGAGGTCTCATACATGGGATGACTTTCGCACTGTGATTTACTGCATCTGTTAATGAGAAACATGCTGTGTGTTTTATCTTTTCAAATGGAACCATAAGTGCAAGAGATTCCTTTACCAAGTGACAGTGTCACCAAGTATTTAGGATAAACGTGGAAAGAAGGAAACTCAAGTCTATTGCTTAGATAATCGAATCTTTGAGGAAAATTGTCAGTTACAATTAAAGTTAGAGAAATTCCTGTTGAATGTCTTACTGTTTTAAAGTACCTCCTCTCAATTACTGCCTTTGCCAACTGCTGCATCTATCATACAGACCAAAAAGTCAAACAAATCATCAATTTTGCTTTCCTAGTTCTCAAGTCTTTTTCTCTTGCAAGTGAATGTCAAGAGTTGAAGAATAATCTGCAGCCTTACAACTCTGCTGCACCATTTGCGTGAATGGCAATTTTTGGAAATAAAATCTCACCTATTTCTCTAATTCCAGATGCATGATCACAATGAAAAATAGAGAAGATTCAGAATAAATATTTAAAACATTGCAATGCCCATTTAGAAATAAATCAGCATCACAAATTAAACTTGCAACTAGATAGAAGGTTCAGAAGGAGAAAATTAAACAAAGATATGATTTTCATAAAACTGGTTGGTAAAACTGTTAGAGGTACTTAGAACATAGATCAGTACAGCACAGTAAAGGCCCTTCAGCCCACGATGTTGTGCCCTAAACTTTTACCCTAAAACTAAGGTCTATCTAACCTCCACCCCCAACCTTCTACTATCATCCTTATGCCTATCTAATAGTCGCTTAAATGCCCCTAATGAGGCCGACTCCACTACCCTCTGCAGCAATGCATTCCACGCTGCTACCACTCTCTGAATAAAGAACCTACCTCTGACATCTCCCCTATATCTATCTCCACGCACTTTAAAACTATGCCCCTTGTAATAGCTACCTCCGCCCTAGGAAAAAGTCTCTGGCTGTCTACTCTATCTATACCTCTGATCATTTTGTACACCTCCATCAAGTCACCTCTCATCCTTCGTCATTCTAAAGAGAAAAGCCCTAGCTCTCTCAACCTTTCCTCGTAAGACCTTCCCTCCATTCCAGGCAACATCTGGTAAATCTCCTCTGCACCTTTTCCAGCACTTCCACATCTTTCCTGTAATGAGGCGACCAGAACTGGACACAATACTCCAGATGTGGCCAAACCAGGATTTTGTATAGCTGGAGCATAACATCATGGCTCTTGAACTCAGTCCCTCTATTAATGAAAGCTAACACACCATACGCCTTCTTAACAACCCTATCCACCTGGGTGGCAGCTTTCAGGGAACTGTGGACATGAACCCCAAGATCCCTCTGCTCCTCCACACTGCCAAGAATCTTTCCGTTAACCCTGTATTCTGCTTTCAAACTTGTCCTTCCAAAATGAATCACCTCACACTTTTCAGGGTTAAACTCCATCTGCCACTTCTCAGCCCAGCTCTGCATCCTATCAATGTCTCTTTGTAACCTAGAACAGCCATCCGCACTATCCACAATGTGACCCACCTTTGTATCGTCCGCGAACTTACTAATCCAGCCTTCCACTCCTACTTGTGCATTGCTCCAATTCTAAGTAACTGCAACATAATCCTCAGCCAGTACTCAGTCTATATTATTTTTAATCATTTCAATTTTCACATTTTTATTTCTCTCACATGAGCGCTAGAAGCACTGACTCATGCTGGGCAAGTTTCTGTAAGTGCTGTTAATTAAGGTAATAGTTTTCGATGGGTTAATGGTGGAGAGTGCATTAAGTCCACCCATTCTAATAATGTCACACAGCTTTAAGTGGGAAAAAGAAACGTCTAGCTTGAGATCTCAATAGAGACAGATGTGTCACTAATGACTCCTGGTAATGTTATATATTTTATTCAGCCTGTTCGGACATGTTATGGCACGCATCTGAGGCAGGTCAGTCTTGAACCTGGACATTGCAGCCCAGAGGCAGGAATACTACCACTGTATCTCAAAGTCCATTCCTAATAATTTTAGTTTTTGATTCTAACTAGCTAATGTAACTTGTACCTATTGCTATCATACAATGAACTGCATCTTAAGAAAATTACTTCTTCTCATTAAGACTCACTAGTGCTTCATCCTCTGCCACTGTTATAGAGTCATAGAGATGTACAGCCCGGAAACAGATCCTTCGGTCCAACTTGTCCATGCCGACCTGGTATCCTAAATAAATCTAATCCCATTTGCCAGTATTTGGCCCATATCCCTCTAAACCCTTCCAATTCATATACCCATCCAGCACTGCTTTTGTCTTTCTTCCTCCTTTTGAAAGTGCTGTTGTTTTGATCTTTTCTTTTCCTGAAGTTCCAAAGCAATGCAGCAATTTATAAAACAGTAACTACTGCTCCTAGAATTTGAGGAAATCAGCTCTAATACTGAAAATACTCAAAAAAGGAGCAGCTCTTACAGCCACATTTTTTCCAGTCCTCCATCTTGGATTACCCAGAACCCTTTAACCAAATAAGCTCTTCAACCCAGTACAGAAAGGAGGATTGGTGACAGCACTCCTCCCCAGCCATTAGCTTGTACACAGCAAATACCACATGTATACGCCAAATACCACACATACACAGCAAATATTACATATACACAGTAAATGCAACATGTCAGCCGGTAGCATGGTGTAAAGATGTGTAATAAAAAGTATTTTCGTTATGTTACTTAATTGGGAAGTTTTTTTTTTAATTTGATGTATTAGTTGATGTTAAGCAATGTCACAGATTTAAAACAGAGATGAGGAGGAATTCCTTCTCTCAAAAGGGTCATGAATCTGTGGAATTCACAGCCTCAGAGTGCAGTGGTCCCAGGGTATTAACTAAATTTAAGGAGGAGATAGATAGATTTGTAATGAGTAAGGGGGTGAAGGGTTATGAAGAGTGAGCAGGAAAGTGGGATTGAGACTGAGATAGGATCAGCCATGATCACATTAAATGGTGGAGCAAGGTTGAGGGGCTGCTGCTTCTAGTTCTTATGCTCTTATGTGTAGTCTATGTTGAATTTAGTCTTAAAATTGGAAATATTTTTCTTTGGTTATTTTAGTTTGGGATATTATCTCTTAAAGTTATAGGCCCCTTCAGGGATCATTACAATATTGGCATGAAGTTCAAAATTAAACAAAGTTCAAACTTACCCTTCACCTTCAAGCTCATCGGCTCCAACAGGGAATCCCTATGATAAGATAGAGTTAAAGACAAAATCACAACGCTAAGAGATTTAATGTCAATATCCTTGCTTCCACCAAACAATCCAAGGGTTCACAATTAACTAAATAAAAGAGCGAAGAAGTTGCATTAACCACAGGTTAAAACATAGCACTTTTAATATAATAAAATACTTCACAGCAGCACTATAAAAACAGAATTTTTCACTGAATTACAAATAGATAGTAGGCCAGGAAACAAAATATTTGGGCAACGAGATAGATTTTAAGCCATTCAATAGAGGGAAGAGAAGTGAAGGGATTTAGAAACAAAATTCTGGATCTTAGCCCTAAACTGCTGAACATACAGTTGCCAATGGTGAAGTAATTAAAACTGGGGATGTTTAAACAGCTGGACTTGGAGGAACAATGAGATTTTGAAGCATTGTAGGCCTGGGGGATATTACAGAGCTAGGGAGAACAAAGGCTACAGAGGAACTTGAAAGCAAGGGTGAGAATTCCAATCTTGAGGAATTATTTCACTGGGAGATAAAGTAGGTCAGCAAGCACTGATTTGGATGGGTGAGTTTTAGATTACCTCAAAGCTATGGACATTAGAAAACTGGTCCACAGTATTTTGGTGGAGTGAAGCCCTGCAGTGGCAAAAGTTAATGAGGGTGGAAGCAGCAGATAAGAAGAGTGGTGGAGTTGGTTGGGGGGTCGGGGGTCAGGGGTCGGGGGGGTGTGCGGGGAGGTGGTGGTGGTGGTGGGATTTGCAGATGGAAATTGACCGTTCCCATGATGGCATGGGTGTGTGTTCCAAGCTTATCTCAAGGTTAAAAGACACTAAAGCTGAAAACAACTTTTTCAATCTCAAACAGCTGCCCCAGACGTGGTTGGAATCAATGGCTAGGGAATGGACTTTGTGGGGGGGAGGGGTGCGGTATTGAAAGTAATGATTTGGCTTTCCCAATATTTAGTTGGAGGAAATTTCTACTTATACAATACTGGATCCCTGATAACCCATTTGTGAATTTACAGAATTGGGAGGGTCAAGAAAGGTTGAAGTGAGTTAAGCTGGACATTATCAGCATTTATGTGGAAACTGATGCTTTCTGTTCAGATGATGTTGCTGATGGGCTACATGCAGGTAACATTAGGTTGATTTGAAAAGCTAAATTCATCTGATTTTAAGCTCCTGCAATGTAGTGTAAATAATTTCTGTAGTTCTAGAACCAAGAATTTTCTTTTTGTGCTTATGAATATCAGATAGAACTGAGTACATGATCAATTAAAAATGACAAATCCTAATGCAAGTGTTAATTGTGAGCAATTTTTATAGACAAAACATGGACCACTAACGTTCAACTCTTCTTTTATCAGAAAAATGTTGTTTATACCACAGCGCACAGCGGGAAATGTCAGAGGCCATTCTGTGCTGTTTGCCTTGAAAAGGTAAGGTTTGCTGCAGTGTTGTCAGGTAATGCATTGTGTTACTACAGTGCTAGAAATGATCATCTCTGATATAGAGCAGTCATAAAACCACCCAGAACTGTACAGAACAGACTCTTCAAATAAGCTTATATCAAGTTAAAGGTGAGACATACGTGAACAGCTCGTTGCTGGACATCAGGAATGAAAAGAACTGGTTGAGTGACGAGGTCAGGAATGGACTTGAAGACAGTGGCCTCCATCTGCTTGAAGTTGGGGATCAGCTGTAATTTTTGGTCCTGGACTGAAAATACAAATCACAAAATGAGGATATTAAAAAAGGATTGTCCAATAGCTAAAGTGATGATTTGCATTGGTTGAGATTTGACCTATTACATATTGAATTTGTTTTAATATAAAATCAACTAGCAAGTTTGAAATCTTCATGATTAAATGTTAATTACTGCCATTCCATGGTCATAACTGGTCATTATTCAGACATTGGTTGGTGATAAGGTTGCATCTGTAACAGGCCTTCTTATAATTAAAAGGAATTTCCTTTTCTTTGGGCCATCACGTTTCTGAAACTCATGTCCAATAACTGAAATGCCAGCTACACCCAACACTTATACAATAACCCCCACAAATGAAATCCAAAATCACTAATTATTCCAAATGGTACAGAAACCAAAGATATCAGGGGAGCTTTAACAAACAAAAAGAGGTGGGTTTGGGTTTGGGTTTGAGTAGGGAAGTAAACACCTTCAAAAAATGACATTGGATCAGGATCCTGACATTATCGCATCCACTTCCAGGTTTCATCCAGCCAGATTTGAAGGCAAGCAGGGAATTTGTATGCAGCTTTCGATTAAGTCATTTAAATATTTTAAGTAGTAACTAAATACTATTTTAACAAAAGGCTCAGGTCTAACAGCCTCTGGACCTCTTCTTTAAGCATTCAATGACTTGCCAGGCTCACTGAAGTGACTGCACAGTGGAAAGAGCTTCTTTAGTGAAACGGACGAGCTGGTAGATTTCTAAGCAATGAAACTGAAGGACTCTTATCGTGGCCAAGAGAGAGGCTGCTGTTCGCAGCACTTCTTCCCAGAGGGAGCTTTCAGTGCATGACTGCTGATTGTCAACTTCTTGTAACATCAACTTCTTCAACATCCTGTCAAAGCAATTCACTCATCCTCAGCTTGGCTTCTCTGCTACTAATCTTCACGACTGTATGACAGTAGCTTATTCAGGCTTTACCTTTTGAAACAGCAAGAGGAGCATCGACAGTGGCAGGGGACAAGCACCAACAGAAATTTTCTCAGTCATATGCACGAGGCAGTGGTCACATAGATCCAAATGAAATGAGGCGAAACTTCAACCACAGGGTTCACAGGGAGAGGTTCAATTTTCATGATATGTCTAAACATCAATGCATCAGGAAGGAGAGGTTCATTCAGGGCAGCCTTTCCAGATCTCCTCTCCATCACTGTGGTGCTGGGGCAAACTGCAGATGCTGGAGAGCCGTGTAACTCATGATGTGGTGCCTTTAATTAGAAACCTTTTCCTTCAACAAATCTGACATGACATCATGCCCACCCTCTCTGATAAGCCACAAACCTGGTGACAGGATGCTCATGATGTCCAGGGCTTTGGGAAAACCGACTGAAACTCTATAAGGTTCCCAACCCACTGCCCATTTTGGCAGGGATCCCATTTTTTAGGGAAAGTTATCCTATGTTTCAAAGACTTAAAAATTGCAGAAAATCTATGTAACGTTAATTTGAAAAAATGTATTTGCAAAATTCACAGGTTTTTCTTACCAGAAAACTGATAAATGTCACTCTTTTTAAAACAAAAATCAAAATTAAATGAACCTCTACATCAATCAGTAATGTCAAAAATCTGTGCACAATCCAACATGCGATGTCAATTTACTGTCTACAATATTTACACACAGTCTCCTACAATATTTACACACAGTTTCCAGGTTTTGTATTCTTAGAAACTTCAGTACTCACAGGTATTTAAATGAGAACTGCCATCATTAGATTTGGACTTCTTACGAGATTGTTTACGTTCCTCATCACGTATCTTGCGTTCAGCACCCTGTACAATCAATGTCAGGTCAAAAAAAAACATCATTTTACTCCAGTACCCAAAGATTAATTGCATTAGAGAAAACAAGCATTTCCATTAGGCCATCTCTATAACATGGCCGCCAATACAGCTCCTTGTATATACGCCTATGTACAAGAGTTCATTCAGCAACACCGCTGGTGCAGCACAATGAAGGAACCTTCATCCCCCTGGAGATATTGTAAGTAAGTAATGGCCAAGTTTTCATTCCATGAGAGTCCTGGTATCGTATTAGTTGGCAAAATATTACAAGCAAATAAGATGGTAATATACCCATGACATTTACTGTAATAATATCTAATGTTTGCAATGAGAATTTTTTTTATTCATTAATGGGATGAGGGCATTGCTGGCTTGGAAGCATTTATTGCCCATCCCCAATTGGCCAGTGGGTCGTTCAGGGTCAACCACATTGCTGTGTGTTTGGAGTCATATGTAGGCCAGATTAGGTAAGGATGGCAGTTTCCTTCCCTAAAGGACAATAGTGACCCAGATGGGTTTTTCCCCTGACAATTAACAATGGATTCACAGTCATCATTAGATTCTTGATTCCAGATATTTTTATTGAATTCACAATTCCACCATCTGGGATTTGAACCTGGGTCCCCAGAACATTATCTGAGTCTCTGGTTTAACTGTCCAGCGATAAATATCACCAGGCCATCACCTCCCCCTAACCTAGCTCTAGATTATTGGACATTTTCAAGGAAACATGGGGAAGTGACCCACTTTTGTGGTATGTCTAAGAACAAAACAGAGGCACTAGTTAGTGAATATCTTTATCAACTGGGAGTAAATGTAACCTTGGGCAACAATGTAAAATGGGTACGATTGGATCAACCACACATTTTACACTTCACTATTTCTACATTTCTATCGACTACAATCAATATAAAAATGACCATTGTATTCGGCTTTGAGTACAAGTGCTGGTAGCTGGTGGCTTGAGTAGTTTGCTGCACAATCATCCTTTCTAAAATTATTTTCAAATCACCCTGTTCAGACACATTATGGCACATCTCCATGACATGTGGAACTTGAGTCTGGATCTTCAGGTCCAGAGTTAGGGACACTAGCACCATTCCACAACAGCCTCTAAAGGCCTGTCTAATTATCAGGGGTAGAAGATAGACCACTAGAGTTAATTGTCTTGTATAACAAGGAGTAACATATTGCAGGGAGCATTGGGTTCAATTAACATCAACAGCTGGCATAATTACAACCCTTACTATACTCCTGGCACATTCACGACTGTGTAGCCAACTTCAGCTCCATTTACAAATTTGCTGATGACACCACCGTAGTGGGTTGGATCTCAAACAACGACCAGACAGAGTACAGGAAAGCGATAGACAGCTAGTCGCATGGTGTAGAGTCAACAATCTTTCCCTCAACGTCAATAAAATGAAAGAGCTGGTCACTGACTTTGGCAAGTGGAGTGCAGGACATGCCTCTGTTTGTATCAATGGTGCTGAGGTGGTTGAGAGCTTCATGTTCCTAGGAGTAAATATCACTAATGATCTATTCTAGTCCACCCACATTGACGCAACAGTCAAGAAAGTACACCAATGCCTCTACTTCCTCAGACGGCTAAGGAAATTCGGCATGTCTGCAATGACTTTTACTATTTTTATAAATGCACCATAGAAAGCATCCTATTTAGATTCATCACAGCTTACCATGACAATTGCTCTGCCCGAGACCTCAAGAAATTACAGAGAGTTGTGAACACAGCCCAGTCCCAGTCCATCACGAAAACCAGCCTTCCTTCCATTGACTCCATCTGCACTTCCCGCTTTCTCAGGAAACAGCCAACACAAACGAAGATCCCTCTCACCTCAACTATACTCTCTTACATCCTCTTCCACAAGGCAGAAGATACAGAAGTTTGAAAACACGTACCAAGACATTTAAGGACAGCTTCCCCGTTGTTATCAAACTTTTGAACAGACCTCTAATATATGAGAGTTGATCCTTCTCTGCATCTTCTCTGTAGCTGTAACATTATATTCTGTATTCTGTTCTACTACCCTGATATACTTATGTAAGGTATGATTTGTCTGGTTAGCATGCAAAACAATACTTTTCACTGTATCTCAGTACATGTGACAATAATAGATCAAATCAAATCAACCATCAGAAGCCAGTTATGTCAGGTCTGTCTCCATTAAAACCTTGCACAAGACTAACTGATTGTCCATCCAACGACTGTGCGACATCATCAGGTTTGGTGGTCCTATTGCAACTTCAACACCAACTCTGTCAGAACTACTACAACAATTTTACACTATTTTCAATGGGCAAAATTTTCTTCTAAATAATACCAAATTTGCCTGTGAGGCTGTTACCCAAACAAGGTTGGCATTTAGATGATTGTGAATAATAAAGTGCATTTCTCATTTATTTTTCAAATGTCTGAGAATGTAAGTATGACGAGAGGCCACATTTGATCATTGCACTTCTCTTTGTACAGGAAGTACAATATGCTTTGTTACACACAGCTGTAAGAAATGAGCACAATGTTGTTGTTAATGTGTATAAGTTTGAAGAATTGACCCCTCATGCTGTTCATTGGCTGCCCTGTTATTTTGCGATATATCAAGCTCATTTTGTGCAAAACATTTAATTTTGCACTTTTGACAAATTCAGGACATCCCAAATTGCTTGCAGAAAATAAAGCACTTTTTAGAAGTGTAGTTCCTGTTGTACAGGTATTTGAATCAATTTTGCCCTAATGAAAGGGATTTTTGCAAAGTTCCAATAGCAATGAATCAACTTGTTTGATTAAAAGCAACAGAAAATAATGTTTTCTTAACTGGCCAACGTAAACCCAGGTACAATGAAGATTGTGAATAAACTCTCGACTGAACATTGCAGTTAATCCTTGTAATCACAAAGTATAAAATGGTGGAGGATAAAATGCTGCTGCTCCATAAACAATGCGCTCAATTTCCTTACCATTTGTCTCTAAGAGACATATCACAAATTTATATCTCTCGCATTTACCTTTACAGCAATTTAGCATTTTAAGCCAACTAGCTACGTGATATTGTTTTACTCCACAATTACTTTTTTTAAAATCACTGCAAAAGGATAACATTAAGCACCCTAGACCACTAGCATACCTTGTCACAGAAAACTTTAATCTGACAATAGGCCCTGTGGATGGGTTTGTTGCTTCGGGTGTTATAACTGTATGTATCGATCTGAATGTTCAATGGTAGACCTTTGACTCCTTTTTGAGATGAGAAGTCTGTGCTGAGACAGTTGACCGAGACGAAAATCTGTAACAGGAAGCAGTCATTGTAAGGTTTATGTTTAAGTTGATGATAAAATAATAAAGCAGTACAGTGGTTTGATCATCACATGACTGCACTAAAATCTGTAATGTAGCTTCAATGCTAGTAGGAAATGAAAAGGTTAATTTTGCATGGTTCCATTTCCAACACAGCTTCACTAGGAGAGAGAATGCAATGACAAAGATTGTAGCTCCAATTTTACAATCCAAGCATGTGTGATTCTATACCACGATTTCTACATTATAATATTAGACTTTGAATCTTTAGATCAGATATGCAATGGTTTTTCAACATACTTTACACATTGACCTGCATGCCCCTTGGATGAATTAAATAACATTCTATACTTACAGTTCTGCCAATGACACAACTGAAACACTTTGTGGATGAACTTCAGTACTGGTGTGTTGCCAAGTGCATAGAACATACATTCCAACAACTGGCTGATGAAATCTAACAGCATGCTCCCTTGGCTTCTTGTAACAGGGAGACTTACAGCACAGAAATAGACCCTTCAGTCCAACTCGTCCATGCCAACCAGATATCCTAAATTAATCGAGTTCCATTTGCCAGCATTTGGCCCACATCCTTCTAAATCCTTCCAATGATACACTATCCACATGCCTTTTAAAGTTGCAAAATCCACAAGATGGATTTGATGCATCAGATGTAATTCTGTAATTGGGCAGCACTTATTGAACAATATTATGTCTATTAATAGCTACCTGACAACCAATTTAAGATAATCAGTTGAGTTCTAAGGCTACCCTTCAACTCCAGTGAAAAAAATCCCAGTCTATCCGGCCTCTCCTTATATCTCAAACCCTCCATTCTCAGCAACAACCTGGTAGATCTCTTCTGAACCCTCTCCAGCTTGATAATATCCTTCCTATAACAAGGCGACCAGAACTGGATACAGTAGTCCAGAAGAGGCTTTACCAAAGTCCTGAACAACCTCAACATGACAACCCAAATCCTATACTCAAAAGCGTGAGCAATGAAGGCAAGTGTGCTGAATGCCTTCTTAACCATCCTGTCTACATATGATGCAAACTTCAAATAATTATGTACCTGAATCCCTAGGTCTATCTGTTCTACAACACTACCAGAGGGCCTACATTTAATTGTATGTAGCATTTGTTGATCTGCTCAGAGATCGAACCCAACTACCTCATTTCCTGCTCCCAGGTGACCATTCTGATGGGTGTTTAATCTCAGAGTTTAATCTTCTCTCAGCATCACTCTTTCACTTGCTTCATTTCCTCATTCGGAACATCTAACTGGCAATGTGGGAAATTTCTCCACATCCACCTGGCATTGTACGCCATTGTACCACACTTGCCTGCAACATTGAGACAGCAAATGAACAAGTACGGTGCCAAGGAACCCTAGCAATGCTGATATTGATGTAAATTACAAAGATTAAAAGCAGCGGCTGCAGTCAAACCTGCTGCAAAGAAGAATAGCTTTTGGTATCAGAAGCAAGTCAATCCAGTCCTGAGTCATTCCTGCAAGAGTTTCTCAGGGAATCATCCCATGTCCAAATATTTTAAGCTGCTCACCTATCTAACATCATTGAGGGACCAGCATTAAAATATGAACTGTAGCTGTTCAAGGAGATGGCCCAGCTTCACCTTCTCAGGGCATCTAGGGATGAACAATTACAGGTTGTCCAATCATAATGTTGAATTCTGAGGGAGGGAAATGCTGGGCAGCCCACTGCAGTGGATGCAATCACAGTCTGCAGGTTTTTCAGGGCCCATATCTCTAACTTAATATGATGGTTGCAGTACATAAAAAAGTGTAAACATCAAGCCTTAAAAAAAATACAGGCAGTCGAACCAGACCCTTCAAATACTCTGCACAATCTTTGCTGTCATAGATAGTGATATCGTACAGAAAGAAACAGCTTTTGTCTTTAAGCCAGGTTAGTTAGAGATAAAAGATGACAGCCAAAGATAAAATTATCACACAAATGTCATTTTACAACTTCACACTCCTAATTGCTTCCATTATACATGGAACATGCTTCAGACAGTTAAAAGCACATCTATCTGGCAAAGGAAGGTCTCCTGTTTGTCTTTCCCTGGCAGTAAATGGTGCCCTCTGCTGAATGCTGTGCAGCAGCAAATTCTTTTCTTTTTATTTGACCAAGTATTAACAGGTCAAAACTTGATACAACTGTCAGCCGCACAGATGTCTCTCAAAACTGATTCCAGAAATTCAGGGAGATGCAAAAATTGTACAGGGGTGCCAAAAGGCAATTGATTTTCCACAGACAGATATATTTCCCTTATTCTTGGTTCGGAATTCCAACTAATAATAATAGTTCTGTGGTAAAATTGACTAAATGCACTCCAGTCAAAATGACAACACAAAAACCTATGCATAATAAAAAAAATGTCTTGCATACTGTTAATTGGTTGGTATGTTAAACACTTGTATAGATTAATAAAAATAGTAATGACAATTTACTATTGCTATAGAAAAGATGTTGTGAAACTTGAAAGGGTTCAGAAAAGACTTGCAAGGATATTGCCAGGATTGAAGGGTTTGTGCTTAAGATAGAGAGGCTGAATAGGCTGGGACTATTTTTGCTGGAGCGTCAGAGGCTGAGGGGTGACCTTATACAAGTTTATAAAATCATGAGGGGCATGGAAAGGGTGAATAAGTCAACGTCTTTTCCCTAGGGTAGGGGAGTCTAAAATTAGAGGGCATAGGTTTAAACTGAGAGGGGAAAGTTTCAAAAGGGACCTAAGGGGGTGACTTCTTTATGCAGTGGGTGACGTGTGTGTATGGAATGAACTGCTAGAGGAAGTGGTGGAAGGTGGTACAATTACAACATTTAAAAAGGCATCTGGATGGGTATATGAATAAGAAGCATTTAAAAGGATATGGGCGAAATGCTGGCAAATGCGACTAGATTATTGGCATGGACGAGTCAGACCAGCTGGTCTGTTTCCGTGATGTACATCTCTATGACTCTGCTTAGAAACTCATGCTCAGAACCCACTCTTCCCACATTTTGATACCAATGTTGGACAAACCATCCTCTGCTATCAATTAAAACTCAACTAACCCCTGCAAAACTGACATCTACACACAACCAATCTGTGTGAATAGGATCATTGTTGCTTCCTAGAACGAGATAGCATCAGGCCTTTGTCATGGATATGGTACTATGTCCATACTGCCATGAATAGCTTCATTATCTTAAGGTTGGAAATGTACCAAAAATGTATAATCTTTGTCATGATGTAATACGTCACATATTGTACAATTCAGTATCCTAAGTGTTCCATTCTGATTTTTATGCCAACTGATTGACTAGCAACAAAAAACATTGATGCAAACATATTTTGCGCCCAAAATCTTGTCATCCATTAATACCCAATTCTATGGTACACTGTTCAATTTTACTATTGTTTGGTCAATAGGTAATCACAGATGCCCTCTGGGCATTCTTTAAACTTTTAGGTGTCAAACACAGAAAATTCATAAGGAAACTGGAGCATGTTGTGAAGCTTTTAGCCAAACCTAAAATACGAATACTTAACACGTAAACGGCAAGTATTTTTTTTGAAGAAACAATGTGTTATATTCAGAAAGCCAATTGATTAAGAAAGATACTGGAGCCAAACTTTATCCTTCAGACAGTGAACATTTCCAGGATATACTGGGTATCTCTAACTCAACTAAGCTTCAGTAAAACTCCAATAATTGCCCTTCATCTACATAACAATTAAGTACAATGATTATACAACTAACAGAATGCATTTAGTATCACATTGTCTTATTTAATTCATTAACCAATCCTGTTTTTGTAATTTTAAAATAAAATATTCAACAGCTACAATTTGCATCCGTAAAGCTTCTTTAACGGTACAACAGAAGGACCTTCACAGAGGCAAGAAGGGTAAAATAGTAGTAGTAAAAAGAAAGCTTGAGGAGGGGGCTGACTGCATGGTCAAAAAGGTATGTTTTAAATAAGCTATCCAAACAGAGGTAGGATAGGAATGTAACTTAAGGAAATAGTTGCAGAATATAAGACCAAGGTGATGCCACTGAGACTGCAGGACAGTGAGCATGTGAAGGAGACTGATGAATTAACAAGGCTTATTTTGTTAAAGGAGCTGCAACTGAGGGTAAGATTTTGGAATTCGTATTTGGAGGTTGGAAGCAAATGGAAGCTTCCAGGAACAATGGGGAAGGTGAACAGGGCATAATCAGACAGGGCAGTAGTAGGCAGGTCAAAACCAGAAGACAGATAGAAATGAGGATTTCGGTGGCACTGAGAACAGGAGTTGAGATGGCCAGAAGTGGAGGGGAAAATATGTGCCTTGGTGATGTAGAGGATGTGTGATTGGAACTTTCTTAGGGGTTCTCCTAATCAGCTAGTGTACCTCCTGTGGTAGACAAATGGAAACCTAACTACATTGCATAAGTGAGGTTACAACCAATCATCCACCAAAGATACAGTGATCAAGAACTCAATGAACTTTCAGTTTGGCTGAGTAAGTCCCTTGGGGTCAGGGCTTAAAATAAACAATTAATAATTTTTTTTTGTCAATTAAATAAAATGTAAGTAGACAACTAGTCAGTGGAAACTGGGCTGAGGTCAAAAATAAAACAGGAAGATAATCCTAAAGGGGTTGAGGATACCTGCAGCTAAAACTGAAGGTTAGAACATGCATTGGAAACTGCTCTGAACAATTGGAGATTCAGATCGTATTTTCCTCAGTGTATGTTTCTTGAACTGAAAAGTAACGTGTTGCCAAAAATATAGCAGCAGCCTTTGGGTCACGGGTAACCCATTATTTACACAGTTAGAAACACAACCACTGAACTAGAGTTGGCCCAGGCCACTAATACCGGATAAGGAAAGTCACTGTGCAACAATGCTTTTCAGCGTAATTTTACATTGAGCAAGTGCCAAGGCCCCCAGGACATTGACCCAGAAACGAAACTGCAAATTCCTTGGACTG